TTCTAGAGCTGTTAGAAGCTTTTCTAATATAATAAAAAAAGATGATATTGTTTTTAACGTTCTGTGACCCACACACACAAAGTTTCAGTGGGGGGTCAGACCTTCGGTCTTCAAACCCCCACTTTCACATTGTGTAATTCATCGTGAAACTGCCGTGCAAAATGAAAGGGATCATCATTTACTGGTATATCTGTTAATGTCAAATATTTTATGATATTTTGAAATCGTTAATGTGACATGTATTGACCAAATGCCAGCGAAACTCTAGCTATTTCTTGTTTAATGGATCAATAATCGCAAATATCAGCACATTTTACATACGTCATAATCGTTAAAATGCCAATAAATCTCATAAATTCCATCCATGTTAAATTACTCCACCCACGTTCACATTCACGTGCACTCTTATTTGTAGATGGAATTACCACTGACATTATAAAATCAACAGGCATAAACCGCTCAAAAAATTGTTTGGGTGTTGCTTTAGAGATATCAGCAATGTGTACAACTGGTGTGCTGGAATAGAAGCAGGACACTTGGCGAGGATCAATAGTAACAACTTTATTGGTCCATCGTACGTTATTAACATTACTAATGTTTATGACTTCTCCATCTTCAGAACTATCATCAGTATTACTTGAAATATCCGTTTCACTATCCATTTCGCTATCACTTGTTCTCTCTTCGTCATCCGTATTTTGATCGGTATCTGAACTAGTTGTGGAAAAAGCCACAAACTTCATACGGCCCGATGAGACCTCAATTTCATTTACTGGTTGCGAATCAAGACAAATTATCCAGCGGTTATTACCTGGTGCTACTCATAGAACTGTTGCTGAAAGTCGTTTAGTCTTCTATAATTCTTCCAAAAGTGGTTGAGCGATGTTTTCACTTACAACAGAATCCAAAACAGAAACCTTGGCGTCTTCTCTAATATTCAAAGAAATCCGTCCCATTTTAAAGGTTAGATAAAGAAAGAAAAAGTTCAATGAGAAAAGAACTTCTATATTTCTATACATACCTTACACTAAGAAACATTCACATTTCACATTTATTTCGCAGTCGGTTTCAATTTACATTGAGAAATCAACTTATTTATTTACTATCTCATAAGTACAAATCATGTATATAACGCCTACTTACTTAATATTTTAACCTTTTTTAAAGACGGCTATTGTTTGTATCCCCAATTTTGTTAGCTATACCCACTGTTAGCCGAAATCTAACCAGAATTATATAGTCATGTAATTGATTTTTCGCCCAATGAACAAATTTGGGGGCACAATTAACAATTTCCTTTTTTAGATAAATAGATTTACACAGTGTACTCCATATATGATTTTGCCTCACGTATAACTCTGATGAGCCTATGATTTTTATTACAGAGATTTCCTGACATAAGTATATTGCTAAATAAATTTTGAATCCTGTTATCTATTTTAAATTGGTAGAAATTTCAGTTTATTTTCTGTCATAATTTAGTACAATGTACTAGATTTAGTACAGATAAATCCAACCCATTAATATTTAAATAATTATATATTTTAATAAGTTTTTTTTTTTTTATTTTTTATTTTAATTTTAAACAAATAATATGTATATTTATTATGAATAAAAGAATCAAAATTAAGTAATACCTTAATATAAAAATATATTAAACTTTGATTTTTGATAATAAATTTAAGAGTAAATTTATTCATCGTGGGGCGATACTCCTTATACATTGCCTTTATATATATATCTATTCTAACCCTAACCCTAACCTAACTCTAAGCAATGTGATACTTACAATGTGACAAATAGGGTTTCACACATGAAAAAATTTCTAAGTCCCCAAAATATATATGAAAAATGAAAAAGGGAGGGGTGTGACACAGGTGACAAAAGGAGGCGATGATATCGCATCTGCAATAAATAAATTTATTTTAAATTTAATTAAATATAAATTATATATCAAATCTTTTAGGATTAGTATCATTAGTCTAAAAAAAGAAAGGTATTTAAAGTAATGAAATATATTTACTTATTATTAAAGTTTAATTTAATTTTATTTTATTAATTTTTTTTCTATAATAAGATACAAAAAAAATTTAAACAAAAAGTATTAATATTTTTATATATTAATTAGTTCTATTTGTAAATATAATCTATTTTAAAAAAATTTTAATATTTTATACTTATTAATAATTTTAATTTTTTTTTTTAACCAATAAAAATAATGTAATATTTTTAATTAATTTTATTTATATAATTTATCTTAATATTATGATCTTTGCATTAAAAAAAAAGTGAGAATAGCCAGAAAAATCAATTTATTTTTATATGCCAAATATGATTTTAGGTCAAATATATTTAGATTTACATTAACTCATTTTTTATTTTTTAAATATTTTTTACTTTTCTATTATAAGGATTTTTTTTTAATAATAAATATTTTTTAATATTTTATTATATTTTTTCAAAACAAACAAATTTATTTAATATATCATGAATAGTATATAATATTTATATTATAAATCAACAAAATATATTTTAAAAAAATATTTTATTTTTTAAAAAAATAATTAATTAATAAAATAGTATAATTTATTTGTATATATAATAAATATTTTATTATTTAATAAATATTTTTTTTTATTAATTTTATTCTACTTTCCTTTTGAATTTCCTTTTACATAAAATTCAAATAACAAAATATGAATTATTTACATAATTATATTATATGCTTTCTTAATTTAAAATTTTATTTATTTTATAATCCTTAACTATTTCTTTAAACTTTACTTAATATTGTACTACTATAATATCTATATCAAATTCTTCTTTGATCTTTCTATAACTCCTTTTTAAAGATAATTTTAATCTTTAAGTATTCTTTATTTCTATTTCTTTTACCATTTAACATTATTATTTCAATCAATTATATTTACCATTTTTGATAAGTGAAAATTATTAAATTTAATTTTTTAACAATTAAAGAAAAAAGAAAAAAATACTTTATAAATTTATATAAAATTATAATAACATATGTCAAAAATTTAAAATATTTTCTAATAAATAATTCTATTTAATCAAAATAATCTAATAATTATAAATTGCAATTGTAATTTACAAAATTATCTAATAATTACAATTTTGATAAAATTACTAAATTTTTTAAAAAGGAAATATAATTTTTAATAATAATATTTTAATAATTATCATTAATTTATTTTTGATTTATCCTTAGATTTATCATATTAAATTGATATTAAATCAATATTAAAACAAAATAGCAATCATTTATCATTTTATTTTTAAAATAATAAAATTTTATATTAAATAATAGAATCAATTTGGTAAAAAGTTTAATGATCATCATTTTATAATTTATATAATTTATCCAATAAAGATATGATAAATTTTAATAATTTTAAATATTTTAAACTTGATAATAAGCAATATATAAATTTTTTTGAGAATTTATTTTTATATTTAAAGAATTCACAAAAAATAATTCTTTTTTATAATAAAAATATAAAATATATCAAATATCACTGGTTGTTTTATTTGAATTTTAATTTCAAAAAGTATTCTATTTTTTTATTACTTTTATTTTACTTTTGAAAATTTTTCTATATTTGGTAATTTTCTATATATTCAAAAATATTATAATATATCACTATTTAATTTTAAAGAATAAAGTAAATAGTATATTATCTTTTTATCAAAAATACACTTATTAATTATTGATTTAGCAATTATCAAAACTAGAAAATGCTTTTATAAGTCTTTATCTATTTGAAAAATAAAATGCATTTCGAAAGAAAATGTTACTTAAAAATTACTTTTCATATTTTTTGTTTTTTATTCTATTAGATTTTAAATTTAAAGATACTAAAAAACAATTATTAAATATACTTATATATAAAATTTTTTATTAACATATTTTATTTTTATTTTATTTTTAGAAATATGATTCACAAAAATTTCAAAATCTGTTATATTAAATATTATAAGAAAAATAAAACATTAATAGTTTGCATAAAAAAACTAATAATGATTATATATTATAAAAAAGGTTATAATAAATATTCAACTATAAAGAAAAATAATATTTAGTCTAAACAAATTTGAGAATGATTAAAAAATAAAGAAAAACTGTTAAAAGCAGTTTCTTATATTCAAAAATTTAATACAGGTACTTATTAAAAATATCCATTACTTAAAATAAATTTTTTAAATAATTTAAAAATTCTTAAAGTTAATTAAAAGTAATTTTTCATTATATAATTTAAACAAAATATATTTCTTAGCTAAATAAGTAATATATCAGTTAAAATACTAATATAAAAAATGTAAAATTTTCACAAAAATAGATTGATAGATTATAAGCTATTAATAAAAGAAAAATAATAGTTATTCAATGGTTTTATAAAATTATATTGAACAACAAAATAAATTTTTATCTTATGTTTTATTTTGTTGAAAAAAATATGATTTTCCATTATCTTTAATTAGAAATATAAATGAAACACTAATATCATTTAATTTACCAAATAATATAACAATTAAACAATATAGAAGGCGATCAATGAAAAAGAGAAAAATCTATAAATTTTGAGTAATTTTAGTTATTAAGCTAGTTTTATTTACATGACCATGATCAACAGAGTGAGCCAATAAAAAATTTTTTAACTAAAAAGTAAATTTTCTTCTTTTTTACTGACTACCTCCCATATAGTAAGTTTCTAAATAATATTAATATAACTCACAAATAATCAGCATATATTTTTTATTAATAATTTATGCATCTTTTTTTATATAATAATATTATGTAAACTTAAATCTTAGTTAAAAAAAAATTTCAGATACATAAATTTAAAATCTCAGTTATATAAAATTAAATTTAAATAATTAAAATTAATTAATATTAAATTTTATTAAACATTTTAAAATTTATTTATAATTGATAATAAAAAAATAAAGCAGAATTTAAAATTAAATGAAGGTTGAAAAAATAAAAATAAAATTTAAAATTCAAATGAAAGTTAAAAAAATAAAAAAATGAAGTAAAGTTCAAAAAAATTAAAATAAATATTAAAAAAAATAAAAAATTAGAATAAAATTCAAAAAATTAGAAGGAAAGTTAAAAATGAAATTCTATTCTATTTTATTATTTTTTAATTTTTTATTTTTTTTCAATCTCTATTTTATTTTTTAAATTTCACATCTTATTTTTTTTATTTTTTCATTCTAATTTTTGAACTCTGTCTTATTTTTTTTTTTTAATTTCTATTCTAATTTTTTGAACTCTACTTCATTTTTTTATTTTTTCAATTTCTGTTTTAATTGATTTTTATTTTTTTAATCTTCATTCTAATTTTTGAACTTCATTTCATTTTTTATTTTTTTTATTTTTTTCAACCTTTATACTGATTTATATTTAATTATTTTAACAATAAAAAATGATTAACTTTATATATTTTTAGCTCTTGATTTTCATTTTTAGTTAATTTTATGTAATACAATTTATAAGTAATTTAAAATTGAACTAATTTATATAAATTCTATTTGTTTGTTTAAAAAATATTTTCATATAAACTCTATATAAACTTTTATGAATTATATCAGTATTATTCAAAATTATATGATTTAAATAAAAGTTTATAAAAAATTTATTTTTTTTTAACCTAAAAATATTTAAGTTAATTTAGATTACTTTAGATAAAACAGTTTACTTTAATCAGTTTAGGTAACCTAA